TATCTTTCAGTTCTATTTTTAACTGTATGGGTTGTTTTACAAGGTGAAGGTTTACATATACTTTAACAGCATGCAAATAAAGTCGAATGTGTTGTACCACGTCCACACAATACATTACATCCAGTACTGTATATTATTTCATGAGGTTTTTTTCTTTTTATTATATAAATACTCTTCCAGCCCTGCAGAAGCTTTACACACTTGGAAAATTACTAATTAGGCACTGGATTAAAAATAAAACGATTTTAATAGAATGTCAGGCAAAACAAAATCTATTTTTCCATTTTCACAGTGCCGCTGCTACCCGCCTTAGGTTCCCAAGCTAAGTATTGAAAATTCATGATTTAGTTAATAAGAATCCCGGGATGGTAACACTGAATCCTCTCCGATGTTGTAAACAGTCATGATATCTTCTATCTCTATAGTTAGAATAATAAAAGAGATATTTCTTTCTTCAGATCTTTCATGCGGGAAGCCCTTGGCAAACTATTTTCTGGTATTTACAGCGCTAGCATGTCTAACTCTGTTATGTCTTCTGTAGCCAAACAAGAGACTATTAGAACTAGATGAGAAAAACTATTTGAATGTTATGGCAAAGCAGCAACACTGAAAAAGTCACTGGGATGGAACCATGCTAATCGAGGCGACTTCAGTGTTAGTTTTATTACTTTAGAGAAAGAGAGAAAGGGATTAAGAGAGGGCGAGAGACAGAGGAAGAGCAAAGAGGCTGGAAAGAGAGAAGATAAAAAAAAAAGTCTAATGAGTTTTTGTTTTGGGAACGTTCCTTCAATATTCTCATGGTTAGCGGGATCTAATCACCGTTCGTTTTTTTACTCTAACAGCTAGAATAATGGAATGATCATGATGAAATGCTTTTTTTCAAGCAAAGTTCTAACTGTGAATGTGAATTTTGTATGGGAAAAATTGTCCATATTGTAATAAGCAGGGGCCCGTGGTCAGTAGGGGGCCCCATGAGATGCCCCTGGTACCTTTTATAGGCTTTTTTGGGTGTGGTTTGAGTGTGGGCAAGGACACAGGGGCCCCATGATTTTCTATTGCCCGGGGGCCCCATGACTTGTCAGTCCGCCCCTGGTAATGAGCATGTTCTGGAACAAAAGAAACCTGTTTAGTCACTTCAGTCTCCATGATGTACCCTACGTTGTCAGGATGAAGGGGTTATGCCAGGATTAGGCAAATATATTGTGTATAGGCGAGCGCTGGCAACAAGTATAATGTAAAGCAGCTAGCACACAAGGTAAAGGTAACAACACCTAAAAGTATATGGTATAAAAGTGCAGTACTAAATTAATGAAATAATGTCAAGTGAAAGAGTTAAGTGCACCATATAAATTGAAATAAATATAAATATAGTCCATAAAATATATAAAATGGATAATAGTGTCCGTGAGACTACAAGGCACAGCAATCACGGTGAAGGATAAACTGTGATTTTGATCCAGTGAGGGAATCCACCACCTCTGCCAGATGTAAACGCACCATAAAACTACTGGTAGTTAGCATGTATGCACATCACATCAGGAGCCAAGAAACAGCCAGAAGATCTAACATAAACTGCTCCGCCACAGGCAAAATGAAGGTGGACCCTTTCCAAGATGGCCACCGCTCCTAACTTCGGCAGCGTGACATCAGCAAGTGTGGCTTCTGCTGACGCGTTTCGTGCGCATGCATGTCTTCAGGGGTACGCCCACACTTTTATACCAGAATTATGCCTGCAGCTAAATACATTATCCCAGTATCAATTGTTTTTCCAGCAATGCTCTTTAAAGTGGAGTTCTACTCAAAAGTGTAAGCCCTTCTTATCTGCCTCCTCCCCCCCTCTTCTGCCACATTTGGCACCTTGGGGGGGAGCGGGTACCTGGTTTTAAGATGGAAGTTCGCCCCCCCCCCCCCACAGCCCTCTGGAACCTGTGAAATGTCCTGCAGCCCACTGTCAAAACGCAGCAAGAGTCACACATGTGCAATAGGAAACCGACTGTGAAGCTCCAAAGCTTCACTGCCAGTTTCCCTTAGTCAAGATGGCAGCGTCAGGACCCAACAGCCAATGGAAGAATTGGTGGAGACCAATGGAGACCCCTGGACAGGTAATTGCCCTAATATTAAAATCCAGCGGCTACAGTATTTGTAGCTGTTGACCTTTATTTTTGGGAGGGGGTCCAGAACTTTTATGTCAAAGCAATCCTAGTGGCTAATCAGTTGCTGGATCACTTTCATAGGCAACGGAAGCAACCCCCCCCACCCCCCCACCGCCTTTTGCCATCTTTCTGGGCTCTCCTGTCCCACTGGGGAGCCTGGAACTGTATCCGGTGCTTCTGCCGGATGACCATAGAGATAACTGAGGACTGGAACATCCCCGATCATCTCTATGGTCTAAGAAACCAGAAGTGAGGGGTACTTTCTCACATCTAGTTTCACCAGGAGGTACAAAAGCCTTTACTGGCCTGTGAAAGCATCAGATCAAACCAATCTGCATTTGATCTGATGCTTTGAAGGGTAGATGAGAGATCTGGGACCTAAAAGACTGCAGATCTCTCCATATAGAGGACCTGCCAGCTATCACAAGGAATGTTGTTCATCCCTTGTAATAGTCAGAAAAATGAAATAAATAGAGTGTAAAAAAAAAAAATATAAATAAATAAATGATAAATAAAAAAAAGGTTTAGTCTGTGCTTGCGAGAGAAGGTGAACGCATATTTGTCTCTTTCTCGCCTATGGATAAATTAATGTACCATAGTTTGTCACTGTTCCATGATCATGCGTAATTTTAAAGCATGACATGTTAGTTATCATCATCTTATATTTTACCAAAAAATAGGTATTATATAGTGTTTATGTGCATTAAAATTCATTAAAGTGTATATTTTTCAAACAAATTGCTGCACAAATACCATGTGTCATAAATTGCAACATCCACCATTTTATTCTCTAGAATCTCTGCTTAAAAAAAAAAAGAAGAAAATATGTATATATATATATATATATATATATATATGTATATATATATATATATATATATGTATATATATATATATATATATATATATATATATATATATATAATGTTTAGGGGTTCTAAGTAATTTTCTAGCAAAAAAATAAATGCTGTTTTTTTTACATGTAGGAAAGGATTAGCCAGGGACTGAAGTGGTTAATACGCCTTGAATAGCAGGTCTGGATGAAATTTTAAAAGCTTTTGAATAAATATAATTGACTCAATGGTAGTAAGATTGAATTCTCTGATAAACGATTTTTCAGAACTTAAATAAGTCCAAATCAAACAAAATATTCCTCTGGCACAATTCTCCGCTTTGAAAGCACTTGTGAATAACAAAATCCGTGTGTGAAACTACCACTTCCACGCTATTGGATGTACGCTCACCTTAATCTCTGGACCTTTACAGCAAAAAAAAATTGGTTGTAAAGGTAGAAGGTTTTTTACCTTCATGCATTCTATACATGAAGGTAAAAAACCTTCTGTGTGTTGCTCCCCCCACAGCTCCCCCTAATACTCACCTGCACTCCCTCTCAATTCAACGACGTGCTCGAGAGCCTCAGTTGTCCAGGGACTCCCTCTCCTCATTGGCTGAGATACCAGCAGAAACCAATGAGGAGAGAGCAGGGGCAAAACCCAGCTCTATGTGTCTTATGGATGCACAGAGCTGGGCTTGAGTGCAAGCACACGCCAGTGCCCCCCCAGCTTGCTATTAGGAGCACTGGTTAAGGGGGAGGATCCAGGAGCACCGGCGGGGGACCCGAGAAGAAGAGGATTAGGGCTGCTCTTTGCAAAACCATTAAATAGAGCAGGTAAATATAACATGTTATTTATTTTTTTTTTTCAAGCCGAACCTTTAAGGCTGTGACAGGCTCTATTGGAGAATGGCGATTTGCTCCACCAAATGGTTCACCACAGATAAATCACAAATATAGCTCAAAAGGATAAAAATAAAAAAAATTTCCATAGTGCTCTCCATTTGTGTGAAAGTACCCATAAAACATTTATTAAAATGCTCTTTCAATTTAAAAACCAAGCCACGCTTTACATTAATTGTGCACGGGAGCAGGGACAACTCTCACCACTTCTGTGTGAACACTGCCCATAATTCAGTGTCAATGGACCGTTGGCATCTGCTGCTCTCCTCCCTTGTCTGTAAGCACAACTGACAGGTTTCAGCGCACCGCCCTATGCTTGACGTCATCAAGCTCTTGAGCGGACAGCGACTTTATGCACTGTGATTACTCTGAGCATATATTTTATAGGTATACCTTAGTGCAATGGCCCCCTTTATATACATATTTGAGCAAGGTTTTCTTTGGAGTACCATTGCTTTTAGTTTGATTATTGCACACCATATTTTATATTTGGGTGAGCACGAGAATTTTTGTTGTGTATAGAAAATATACTGGTGTATAGACAGCTTTAGGATAGCTTAACCTCCCTGGCGGTATGATTATTTCATATTTTTGGTGCTGAAAGCGGTACCATTATTTTGCATGGAAATATGTAGTTTTTTTATTGTAGGCTGTAATTTTTAGGAATAACTCACTGAAATCTGTCTGAACAAGATTCTAAATCATACATTTAATTCAATAATATAATCAAACCAAAAACACCGAAATTTGAAATAGAGTGCCAAGTTCACACATCACTGAGCAAAGTCGCTAAATCGTTTTCAGTGTCTGATGAGGAATTTTCCCACGAATCATTATCACTCAATTCTGCAAGTGGTTCTGATTTACTATCACTGTTCTCTAGCTGATCTAAACCCGCTTTTGACCTAAAGGGACACTTTTTGGACGCCATGGACGTTTCTCAGTTTCCAGGCAGAAAGAACAATCAAAATGCAGACAGGGGACAGGACAAAGCACTCGGGACAAAATGTATGTGAAATGGGTTGAAACAGCAATGTTTTACTATGTAAAATCGTTTTGAAAAAAAATAAAAATTTTCTTAAAATTTTCAAATTTCCCGCCGCCTCCGCCGGCGGCACCCGTACGTCCCGTCGTCACAGGGACCGGAAAACAGGAGGCGGATGCCGGCATCCGCTGGAGGAGATGGCCGGGGATGCTGCAGGGGACACATCGTGGGAGCCAAGGACAAGGTAAGTGCTGCAGGGACTCCCTATGCAGCGCCGCGTGGTAAGCCCGAGTGTAGCTCGGGGTTACCGCTTTTGGTACTGACATTTTACCCCGAGCTACACTCGGGAATACCGTTAGGGAGGTTAAAAAAGTAAAAAGAGAAATGGGAAGGAATATTGGGTGGGTGGTGAGAAACGGGAGAGGAAATGGGAGAGGGAGAGATCAAGTGAACCATAGCTTACAACAAAATGTGGTAGTGTTAAAACAGAAATCCCAAGTGAAGAACTGTTGAAGGTAACCAGCATTTTTTTTTTTTTTGTTAAAGTAGAACATCACCCTAAAGAAGAAGCTCTGCTTTATGACCTTCCCTTACACCCCCCCCCCCCCCCCCCGCCTTCCTATGTGTTTGGTACTTTTTTGGGGGGGGGGGAAACCTGGTTTTGACCCCACTTCCCACAACTTTCTGTGACATGTCACAGGTTCCAGAAGGCTACAGGACCATTCACAAAGCACAACGTGGCTCATGCATTGCACAATGGGCAGCCGGCTGTGAAGCCTCAAGGACTTATAGCCAGGTGCCTACAGTAAACCTGCTGATGCCAGGGACCTGAAAACCGTAGAAGAACCAGTTTAGGTGAACACGGAGCTGGACCCCTGGACAGTAGACATGTGTGAATTGTTTCGTAACAAAACAAATTCAGATGAAATTGGAATCATAGAAAAGTGACGGCAGAAAAAGACTGAGTGGTTAGTCGAGTCTGCCCTTCTTTTTTAATTTTTTTTTTGGGGACTGGATCACTACCTCAGCTGGAAGTTTATTCCATGCATCAATTGCTTTTTCAGTAAAATAGTACTTTCTGAGAATACATTTTTGTTATTCAGAGATTTGGATGTATCCGAATTTCCGAATCACAATAGTAACGTATGTCAAGGAATCCGAAATAAAATATAACAAAACAAAATATCCGAATTTGAAAATGAAGTTGGATTTGAAATGGAAAAACATATTGCAATAAATACAGTAAGGTACAAAAGTGCAATAAGATGATGATTCCTACTTATGCTGTTTTTTTAGAATAGAAAATAATAGAATATGATAGAATAGAATAGAAAAGAAAAGGATAGCATATAATAGAAAATAAAATAATAGAAAATAAAATAGAATAAAACAGAATAGAATATAAAGGAAGAGAATAAAAAAGAATAGAATAGAACAGAACAGAGTGGAATAGAATATAATAAAAGAATAACATAGAATAGAAAATAAAACAATAGAATATAAAATAGAAGAATAGAATAAAATAAAATAGAACGAATATAGCCATCTTCCAAAAATTCATATTTTGAAATTCAAATTTGAAAATAACTAATATATGAAACAAATCCAAATCTAAAAAATGTATTCAGAAAGCAAATCATTCAGACGTAACGAATTACCTATCCAGCGGTGTCCTCATCCGAGTTGATTCTTCAATCGGCTGTCGGGCGCTGGCGCCGGCGCCGCCATGTTATCTAAGGGAAACTGGCAGTGAAGCCTTGAGGCTTCACAGCCGGTTTCCACCTGCGCATGCACGAAGCAAGCTGTGCTTTGTGAATGGGCCGCAGTCCTCTGGGATCTGTGAAGTGTCCCAGAGGGCTGAGGGGGGGGGGGGGGGCAAACTTCCAGCTCAGTTTGCTGCAGCGAACTGAGTCGTAAGTGGGAGTGGGTACCTGTCAAAACCAGGTACTCGTTCCCCTACAAAAGGAGCCAAATGTGGCAGCAAACGGAGGTTGTGAATACTAAAACGTGGGGTCTTGAGAGCTATTATGGTATAAATAAATATTCAAGTGTATCAAATAAATAATACAGGTGCTAATACAATAAAAAAAATATAAATATTGAAATTATAATGAGCGGGTCGCTTACACTCTACACATACTCATACCAATGTGTTATAGCAGTGGTTCTCAACCTTCCTAATGCTGCGACCCTTTAATACAGTTCCTCATGTTGTGGTGACCCCCAACCATAAAATTATTTACCCAGCAATTATAATTCATGAGTGTCATTTTACCTCCAATACTGCTGCTTCCAACACAGTAGCTGCTTTCAACACAGTAGCTGCTTTCAACACAGCAGCTGCTTTCTACACATCGGAAATATGTGTTTTCCGATGGTCTTAGGCGACCCCTGTGAAAGGGTCGTTCGACCCCCAAAGGGGTCGCGACCCCCAGGTTGAGAACCACTGTGTTATAGTGAACCAAAAAAACATAAACAGTGTCTTGATCCACTGATAATGCAATAATAAGTGAAAAAATATATTAAATATAGTGAAATTTTAAAAAATATAAATAAAATGAGTAGTCCAACAATATATTAGATGTAATATTACAATCACTCTTGTGCCACAAAAAAGTCCTTAATGAATCTGTGATTTTGACATCCCTTCTATTGGTGTGATAAAACATAAATTTCCGTGCAATTCTTTAATCAGGAATAGTGTACACACCTTCACCGGCTGTGCTCTCACCTGGCGTATATGACCAAACTGTTAAGTGAGATCATATAGAGCTTGTGTCCCTTTAATTGGACTTGGAGATAGATGGATGGAATTATCCCTCTTCTCAGTAAGGCTGGCCATACACTATACAATTTTCTGTCCAATTTCTGCCCAATTTTCTTTAGATTTACCTTCAACCCTGTAGTGCAAGAGCCTGCCTAACTGGATACAATTGAAAGTGTTGTTATGTTTTACCTCCTATTATATAGTTTTTGGTAAATCTAAACCAAAAATCTCAAGAAAATTGTATAATGTATGGCGAGCCTAGGGGTCTCCTTACTTCCTTAGAGCTTTTCCTCCATAGGTATAAGTGCCATAAAGAATAATAAAGAATATAGTGCCTTATCTTCTTTTTAAAACATGTATTAAATAAAGTAGTGCACTCACATGAAATACATGTTAAAATCGCTTTTATTTTTTTCAAAAAGGCTGAAGAACTGCTTTAACCTCCCTGGCGGTATGATTATTTCCGATTTTTGGTACTGAAAGCGGTACCAATTTTTTGCATGGAAATATGTATTTTTTTATTGTAGGCCTGTAATTTTTAGGAATAACTCAGTGAAATCTGTCCGAACAAGAGTCTAGTAAACATTCCGGATATGATAAAACCTGAAATACGAAATCATAAATTATAATTTAATTAATAATCATAAAAAATAATAATATAATAATAATACATTTAATTCAATAATATAATCAAACCAAAAACACTGAAATTTGAAATACAGAGGCAAATTCGCACTTCGCTGAGCAAAGTCGCAAAATCGTTTTCAGTGTCTGATGACCAATTTCTCCACGAATCATTATCACTCAATTCTGCAAGTGGTTCTGATTTACTATCGCTGTTCTCTAGCTGGTCTACAATCGCTTTTGACATAAAGGGACGCTTTTTGGATGCCATGGACTTTTCTAAGTTTCCAGTCAGAAAGAACAGTCAAAATGCAGACAGGAGACAGGACAAAGCACTCGGGACAAAATGTATGTGAAATGCATTGAAACAGCAATGTTATACTATGTAAAATTTGTTTGGAAAAAAAAATGACATTTTTTAAAATTTTCAAATTTCCCACCGACGTCACAGAGACCGGAACACGGAAGCCAGATGCCGGCATCGGCTGGAGGAGATGGCCGGGGACCAGGGGCGGACTGACCATTTGGAAACTTGGGCACTGCCGGAGGGCCTGTGGTCAGTAGGGGGCCCCATGAGATGCCCCTGGTACCTTTTTCATAGGCTTTTTTGAGTTTGGGCAAGGACACAGGGGCCCCATGATCCCCTATTGCCCGGGGGCCCCATGAGTTGTCAGTCAGCCCCTGCCGGGGACGCTGCAGGGGACACATCGCGGGAGCGAAGGACAAGGTAAGCGCTGCAGGGACTCCCTGAGCAATGCTGCATGGTAAGCCCGAGTGTAGCTCGGGGTTACTGCTCTTGGTACTGAAATTTTACCCCGAGCTACACTCGGGAATACCGCCAGGGAGGCTAAGTTATGCTATGTTAATGGGAACATGTAACATACAAATTAGGTGTTATTCCAATTTGGCTGCAAAAGTGGAAATACACTTTAAGGTGCCCACTGTACAGCTCAATAGTCACTTTACTCTTTGTTTACTAAGTTACAGGTTTCATTTAATGATTTAATGATCGAAAACAATACATACGTTTGCCTTAGCACTCCTAGGACAATATAATACTCTATTACAGAATTCATTAAAGCATGGTTATATATATTGTTTGTACGATGTACATTACATTACCACCGAGGAGCATTCCCCTCATCTTCTGTTCTGATCAATAATATGTTTTATATGTACTTACGATGGACATTGATACAGTCCCCAGCCATTTAGATACTATTTCAACACTCAGATGATGCAGCTTCTCAATTGAAATGTCAATTCTGAGCTTTTAACCTACACTTCTAATCTGCCTAAGACTTTGTTTACTGCAGCCATTTTCGCAGGCTGTTCTAGTCAATTTACTTTTATCAGCAAATTTTGTCAGCTCATTTATACTGTCTTAAAGAGTATTGAAGTACATAATTGAAAAAGTTTAAAGTGTAGAAATAGCTGCTTTTTTTTATACCCTATCTGCCCTACGATGAGATTTGTATCTTTCCTCTTCTTCCCATTGTGTTGGCCATTTTCTTTACTGTTGGTCATAACAGAGAGTACACGGGCCCTGTCCCATTAAATATATTTAAGTCAGTTTCTTTTGTTTTACTTTTTATGATTCGTTTACGCTCTTACTGCTTCTTTCTGTAAAAATGAATGGGGTTTGTTTTACAAAGACAATTATAGAATGTAGAAGGAGAAGTCCACTTTTGCTTAAAACATTTTATTGTGCCTCTTACAGCTTCTGCAGCAAAAAGGAAAATAAAGACAATGTAGGAGCTTTATGTAATACAAACCCTATGATGCCGCTGTGTAACCCAAGAAGCACCATTGTGTTAGCAGGCCTCTGATTCCCTCTGGCAATGGTCATGCTGACCCAGGGCACCTCCCACCTTCCTCTTGCAACAGGAATCAGATGGTGTCCCATACACCTATGGAATGGAAGTATTCCACCAACTTGATCTTGGCTAGAGACCCAACTCGAACGCATAAACAGAGTGTAAAGTACACCTCTTTTTCCATCCACCTGACATCAGCATTACTGTACATCCTGAATTAAAATTTAACATGAGGATGCAGACCAGCACTTCAATCTCCTTCAGCTGTAAGTTTCCTTAGACTAGGTTCACACCTGTGCATA